TTTTTTTAAAAAGCAGTTAGCTATGCTGCAATTGTAAATATACATCATATTCTCTCCAACTTCCTCTGATCTCTATCGTAGCCAAATTGAGAGTCACTTAAATCAGTTCTTATTAGTAACATGAACTTCTAAAACCTTCAACATATTATAGTTATCAGTATTTTCACTTGTCATTTCCCTGTAGGATATTTTATCTTACAGATATGTCATTTCACAGAATTTGCACAATGTGAGTTTTAATCCCTTTTTATAAGAGATCTAAATGAGATTTCCAAAGTTCATTTACAAAAACTATGCAACTGATCAGGTGAATGATTTTTATTATTATAAATTTTTCACTGAATTTAGAATATATAATATATCCAAGTAAATATTCAGCAGTTCCCATCTTTTTTTATTGATGTGATTTTTATTCCTGTCTTTTAAATAGGCACAATATTTCCCCAGCTCTACAATTTCCCTGTCTTTCAATTTCCCCTACTCAGAATTCTTCCTGCCTTTTTTTAATTGAAGTATAATTAGCATACAATGTTCTATTAGTTTCAGGTGTACAACATATTGATTTGACAATTCTATACATTATTCAGTGCTCACCACAATAAGTGTAGTCACCATCTGCCACCATACAATGTTATTACAATATTATTGATTATTTCCCCTACGTTGTACTTTTCATCTCAGTGACTTACTTATTTTGTAACTGGAAGCCTGTATCTCTTAATCCCCTTTACCTATTTCACCCATTCCCTCCACCCTCTCCGTGTTTTCTAAATGCATTTTTCCACATTTCTGTTGTAGGGTATGTTATCTAAATAATATTGTTCAAAATACTTCTATTTTGCTAACAAAAACCCTGGAGGTTTGCATAGTATTCTTAGTGAAAATGTATAAATTCTGGTCTTTGTCAGACTTATAATAAGAGGCAGAATGGTAGTGGTAGCATTTAAACTTGTGATTTTATTATAAAAGTGGCCCTGACAGAGCTCTTATATTCAATTTCTAGAACAATTTTATTAATATCATATACATGTTATTTTATTTTATTTTTTTAAAGATTTTAATTTATTTATTTGAGAGAGAGAGCACATGAGAGGGGGGAGGGTCAGAGAGAGAAGCAGACTCCTGCCGAACAGGGAGCCCGATGCGGGACTCGATCCAGGGACTCCAGGATCATGACCTGAGCCGAAGGCAGTCGCTTAACCAACTGAGCCACCAGGCGCCCTACATGTTATTTTATTATCAAATAAAATGCAAAAGCAAATAAGTTAATTTATCACTGTTAAGAGAGTATTTACTGGAATGCAGCTCTGCACAGCTATTGCCCAGATGAAATGGAACAATCAACCATACTATAAACATACTTTCTTACTGAATTGCAACTCCAAAGGAGAACTACAATGAGCAGCTAGATAAACACATAGGTATGGAATCCTGAATAATGTGCTTAAATCAGAAAAAGCATTAAATATCAGTGAAAACAAAGCACTTTGCTCTGAATATCATAGCTGCAGCTGCAACCCAACAGATCACCTTCCTGTTTCTGAAATGTGAGAAATACTACCAGTCACATATCATCCTTCCACACCCTTATTTCAATAACAATAACCACTAGTAATACTGGTATCCTAAAAGAATTCATCGCTGTTGTAAAAAAAGAAAGAGGATCCTCGTCAAGGTGGTCTTTATATAAACAGATAATATTATCTCTAGACAGTGAAATTGAGCATCACTTTGCTCCCAAAGCTATAATTTCATTATGCTCTCACTAGACATGAATAGGTCAATGTTTATTACAAGATAAACAGAGATATGTTCTAACCTATGGGCAAATAATTTACCATAGAACTTTAGTTTCCTCATTTGTTCCACACAAAATTCAAAGAAACAACCAAATTATATTTAAAAAAAATCAATCCCTTTTCTTTGATTCTATGTGAAATAGGATAAATTCATATTTAAGAAAATATTCTAAGACCAACATATTCATATTAATTTACCGTTTACAACCTGAAGTAATTTATATGTAATATATAAGCAGACATGTTACGTGATCCTAATTCTTCAAACATTTATAGAGGCAAAAGCAGATAGATGAATAACAACTGGACAGTGATCAACATGTATTTCTTTCTTCCAGTTCTGTATTTCTGAAGAACAACTCTGGATGTTTGTATGGTTTCCCTGCAGCACATTACATCTCCACTAAGGTTTCCATTAGAAATACTTTTGTCTACAAGTAACAGAAAATCTGACTCTTAGTGGCAGAAACTAATTGAGGGTGGGTACTTCTCTCACATTGAAGAACAGTGTCCAATACTATTAAATCAGTAGCCCAACAATATCATGCCTAATGATTCCAATACTCTTGGCTTTTCCCTCATCTTCAAAAAGGGCTGGTAAAGCTCAAGGCAACACTTTTGCATTAAAAGGTAGTGCCAGATACATCTTTCTTTTTTTATCATGACTTTCTAGAAGCCCTCATAAATTTTCTTTTGTTAGAACTGTGTCACAGCCATTCCCAGTTGTAAGGAAATCTAGAAATTTTTATATTTTTCAGGTCCTTCCATTGGGGATTGCAAGAGAGAAGGAAGTTAGGATAGCTATTGAGCAAGTTCTAGAACAGTCTGCTCTTTGAACTAGTCAACAGTCCATATGTGTTTTTGTGTACATATATATATATACACGTCTATATGTAATATATGTATGTGTAATGTATTTGTATGTGTATGTGTAATGTGTGTATAACATGTGCATATGTATATACACATGTATATGTGTGTGTGTATATATATATATGTATGTATGTATACACATTACACATAACACATTTCATTCCCTCCCTAAGGGAGACAGTCCCAAAGTCTCATCTAGTTACAAAATCTAGCTCTGAATCTAGGATCTCTAGCAAATCTTTCCATCAAGGTTGAGTGTACCTCACTGTGAACCACTGACTACACACTGAAAGACAAGTTATCTGTTCCCAACACACTCAATACACAATGATGGAGAAAGAACAGAGTGACTGCAAAAACTCTCATCCAAAAACAGGAAGAATCAGAAAGATACAGTGGTTAACTATCCATAGCTGACAGCAATCCCTACATGGACATACCTTCATTTCTCTGGTTACCCCATCTGGCAGCCCCTGATTCAGCTCCTCTCCTTTGACTATTATCATTCATGTCCCCTGGTTCTGCCCTTTGGGAGGATGTCCCTTGTCCATTATTCTCCTGGGCTATATAAGAGACCAGCACTGGCGAGTGTAGCCTTCCTACGTTCTGTGCAGCTTGTATCTCCACTACTGTCTACACATTATACTGCCACTGTGAGGACAGGGTAGTGCCTTAGAGGCTGAGTGGTCACAGAATGTTTGCTACCCATGCTTGCGGTTTCTCTAGCCACTAGCTATCTATGGCTATTTAAATTTAATTAAAATGAAATAAAATTTCCATTTCAGTTTTTCAGCCACACTAGCCACATTTCACATGTTCAATAGCTACCTGTGATGAGAACCTACCGCATCGGATATTAACGATATGAAACACTGTCATCATTGGTGAAAGTTCTATTAAACAGGGCTGCATAAAGAGTGTCATTAAAAAGGCCTGTTGAGTTTTATTTGTGATGTTCCAAACCCACATAAAATTCACATACTTTTATCTGTTAGCCTCTCTGTGGTTGAAAATACAGACTGTTATATTATGAAATCTTGTCAGTACATGAGAGTCATTTCTGCAGCTAAGTTAGCACTAAGAGTCTCATTTCTAGGATAGGTGTCAGAATTCATTATGGAAACTACAGATGACAAACTATTATGTAGCCTGTGTTAACTGTGGACACAAAAGTAGCACGAGAGATTCTAAAGGTTTTGAATTGCCTGAACTGTACTACTTGAGAGTCAGCTAATAAAGCTGGCTGGTAGAAAGCTGGTGGGTTCTCTAGGGAACCTGCCTTGAAGTGAGGATGATGTAGTCTGGGACAGTTCTATGATAACTGAATGTACATCCTCAAAACTGCCTTCAAAGTTTAGTAGAATTCCTATAGGTTTAAAAAAAAAAGAAGGTAGTCACTATCTTTTCTTCTGCTCAGAGATTTCATTCTAAACCCACATCAGTATTTGCCAACACCTATATTATCCCAACCAAGTAACTGAAAACTGAACAGAATAAAAACGCTCCAACCAACAAAAAGGAAGGTACTGTTGGAAGATATCAGCTAAAGGATCTCTCTTTGGGTATTATGCCAATTTGAATTTGGAAAACTTGAAAAGACCTCAAGTTTTAGTCTGACTCATCAAAGGAATCAGAATAGAAAGATTTTTATCTATGTTTGCAGGAAGTCACCAGTCTCCAGAGCAGATTCAAATCCAAATCAGACTTCCGCAGACATTAGCAGATTATTCAAATCCTGCCTGTGGTCAAATTCTATATACCTGAGTATTTTAAAATTATAGTTATATCTAATAGGCTCAACATGAGGATATAAGATAGACATTTTACCAATCTCTAAAACATATTGTTAACAAAAATAAAAATATATTAAATGCTCAAATCAACTATAACTGTACCCTTCAGAAAATCCATGTTCAATGCTATTGAGACTCATTATTAGAAAGATTAAATCTTTATATTAAATCAGAAACTTCTTTCAAAAACTCTGACCAATACAATGATGAGTTTAGAGAAGCATAAGATGAAAGGAATTCTTATCACAATGAAGAATACTAGAATATCTCCTTAAAAAAAAACATGAAAATCTAAAGAAGCAGGCTTTTTCAAGAATCAAATGAAGTAATCAAATTTTCATCTATAATATAATATAATGTGTTTATCAGTAAAATCAGATAGCATGCTTAAAATATATCAAGTATAGCAATTATCATGCACTACAGCTGTAACAAAACACTTAGAAGTGTATAAATTAAGTACAGCTATAAAATTAAAATTAGCAATAATAACAGCAAGAAAAAAATAATATTAGACAGAAAAAAAGACTCTAACCACTTTGTCCTCCTGGTGTGAAATCCACGAAAGCAAGTCAGAAAGGACAGAAAAGACAAAACAAAAAAAATAATAATTAATTCCATTCTTAAAACAAGTAAGAGTTTTTAAGAGTTTGTAAGTGAGATAAAAATTCTGAAAAAGTCTAATTTACCATTTTGATTGAAATATAAACATTTTAAAAGGAAAAGTTTTTCCACACATTTCAAGCAAGAGCATGTACTAGAATATATAAAGATACATAAACAATAGTTTCTGTAAAAGCAACTAAATATACAAACATCAGAAAAATGAGAATGTTCTTTCCACAAATAAAATCCCAATTAAACACTCAATTAATCCAAAGAGAGAAACTGAAAAATGTTAAATAGCTTTTTAAGTGCAGAGACAATAAAACACAGCATCACTGTTTATCTTTAATTTCATCATATACTGTCAAAAGTAGACAAAATTTTCTATGAATTATGCATATTGCTTCTAAAAGTTATTTCTGTCCCATTAATTTAGAAGCCTTCTAAACTTTATAACTAAAAAGAAAAAAATTAGAAAAAAGCATTAAAGATGAAATGTTATGATTACAGTTGATAATTTTGGATTATGGTTTCCTATTATAAATGTGGAAAATAAAATAGCAAGATACATGACTTGGTCAAGAGAACATATTTAGATATTCTATAGTTAAAAATTGTTGCATTTCTCTTTACTTAAATATAAAATAATGATAACAGTAAAAGTGATAACATAATATTAATTATCTGATATAAGAACTTACATAAATTAAAAATTGAAATCATGTGTTTTGAAGATCACTGCTTCTCTGAAATATGGGTGGCCGTATATAATACTTGTGACAAAGAGGAAGAGACCTATCTTAAAATTCCACCTTTTTTTTAAATAACATTTTTACCTGTATATCTTGTGCAATTTTCTTAAGCTCTCTAAGCCTTTATCTGCAAAATAGGGAATCAATATTTACTTTATAGGATTTTCTGAAATAAAATAACATGGAAAGCTCTCAATACAGTGCCTGGCATAGAGGTCTATATCTAATATTCTAACCTACTGAAACATAGGATATTGCCTAGAAGGGACAGAATTGCATTCTTTACATTATACTGTGTTCTTGATTGCTTCATTTGTTACAAATGATAAAACTAAAGATCATATAAAAGCTATTGTACACAGTCCAGGACATCTATTGCTAATCATTTAGTCCAACAAAAATCATTTATGAAGCACTCAATATATATGTATCAGGCACTAAACTAGATTTCTGGGACATAATAATTAAGTAAGACAGTTTCTGCCATCAAAGAACTAAATGTAATAAGAAAAAAAATTAAAAACCCATTGCAGAACAGAGAGACTTCTGAAAGCAGGAAAACAACAAAGCACTATAGAAACACAATGATTGAGGAGATAACAGGACTTTAAGAAAAAGGATTAAGAGAAAGTTTCTGAGATGTAAGCAGGTCTTTAAAGAATAAAGAAGAGAATGTCAAGCAAGACCAGTAAGGAAGAATATTTTATGCAAAGAACACGAAATATGCAAAAAGCACAAAGGCACAAATAAGACTAGTATATTTGGAATACAAGTATGTGGGAATGACTAAATTATAACTGGTATGTTTGAACTAAAGTCTCCATGGTTAACTAAAAGCATAACACTTCAACAAAAACTAATTCACACTGCAGAAAATTAAAAAATGAAACAAAATGAAGCTATAACTAATGCATTTGGCAAGTTAACCCCTCTGAACAGGTAAGTTAAATTTCAGCTATAACACATACATGAATAACTTAGCTAATAATATTTCATAATATTTTGAAATATTCAAATATTTCATAATATTTGAAATAATAACATTTCATAATGTTTTATACATTATGAAATGTTATTGCCATCATATCTTTATTATCTTTCAACAGGAATAAAAATAAACAAAAAAACCTATCATATGATTTCTAAATACGGCATAATATTATTAACTACTATTTACTGAGTCTTCAGCTATGCTACAAAGTGCACACTGATTGGAAGGAGACAAATCTGGAAGCTGAGAGAACAATTAAGAAGATACCGAAATACGGGGTGTCTGGGTGGCTCAGACAGTTAAGCATCTACCTTCGGCTCAGGCCATGATCCCAGGGTTCTAGGACGGAGCCCCAGGGCAGGCTCCCTGCCCAGCGGGGAGTCTGCTTCTCTCTCTCCCTCTGCCCCTTTCCTCACTCACACTCCCTCTCTCTCTCTCTCTCAAATAAATAAATAAAATCTTAAAAAAAAAGATATTGAAATATTTCAGGTAAGAAACAAATTTGAGAGCATTGTGAACTACAGTAGTAGCAAGAGAAATGGAGAGAAATAGACTGATTTAGGAGATACTGAGAATAAGGCTATTAATACTTGAATGAAGACATAGACGAGGACTCCGAGTCTGGCTTGAGCAACTGGAAGAGAACCATTCCTTGAAAGAAGAAACACATGAGAAACATACTTGGCAAATAATGAATTCAGGTATAGACATGGTAAATTTGAGGTACCAATTAATACATCCAAACAGAGATTTTTTAGTAGGAACTATATACGTGGATCTGGAGCTCAAAAGAATAATCTGGCTAGTGAAATCATATCTGTAAATCATCAGCATATATACGGTATTTGAAGGTAGAGGAGTGCATAAAATCCCCCAGGAAGTTGTTAGAAGAAACAGGAAGAATGAGAATGATGACTCCTAATCAAAATGGCCCTTCTCTTTGAACTTGCAAGCCTTCCAAGAAAAGAAATTAAAAACAGATTTTAATTTCTAATCAAATTTTAGTAATACAATTAAGTCAGAAATTTCAATGTATTTGTCAAAAGTGATATAAGGCTCATTAATAAACTGGAATTGAGTTGCATGAAAATCAAAGGTAGTGTATAAATATAAAATATTATCAAGGATCTTAGGACAAAGACTGATGAAATATAAAATATTATATTCTGAAATATAAAATATAAATATATGAAATATCAAAGATAACCTCCTGTGGAGAAATATCTTTATTTTAAGCATATGGATAATTTGAATTTTAAAATGCTCTTTAGGGGCACCTGGGTGGCTCAGTTGGTTAAGCGTCCAACTCTTGGATTTCGATTCAGGTCATGATCTCAGGGCGGTGAGATCGAGCCCCATGTCGGGCTCTGTGCTAGGTGTGGAGCCTGCATAAGATTCTCTTTCTCCTTCTCCCTTTGCCCCAGCTCCCCTCTCTCTCCCTCTTCTCAAATAAATAAATAAAGCGTTCTTTAAAAGTGAATTTAATTGATCAATAAATTATTTCAGGTCATAATTACAAGACCTGAAAACTCTAATAACTTAAGAGTATGTCCAAAAGTGATTTATTAAAAGTTTAATAGTACAAATATATCTATTTAAAACTTCTTTCAAAAAGCTATTAAAAATGTGTTTTATTTTCTAGTAATTTTATACTCACCATTTTGTGCCCATAATCAACTCTCCCTATGGCCGTGGTTACTATCTTACCACTTCTGCTAATAACCAATTTACATTGCCTCTCCTGTAGATCAACTGAAGTGTTAATCTACCTTCTCATTATCATCCACTATTCCTCTCATTATCATATCACTATTCTTTGTATAACTTTCCATTATTAGTTCCCCAGTCACCTAGTAAACCAATATCAGTTTCCCTCTGACTCCTTCTCTAGATATTCAATCACGGGGCACCTGGGTGGCTCAGTCGGTTAAGCATCGGACTCTTGATTTTGCCTCAGGTCAAGATCTCATGATCATGACATTGAGCCCTGCATTGGGCTCCACACTCACAGCACAGAGTCTGCTTGAGATTCTTTCCCCCTCCTCTTCCCTCCCCCTCTGCTCCTCCCCCTGCTCTCATGCTCTCTCTCACTCTCTCACCCTCTCTCTCAAATAAATCAATAAAATCTCTAGATATTCAATCTTTCTCCTACTGCTTCCTTCTCTGTACTGCCAAAAAGATAAATCCCTCCCTCTATATCAATACAATATACTCTCCATAGTTAAACTACCATCACATCTCTCCCTTCTTGCCTACCTTGTATAATCAATCCTAAACCACCTTTCACACCACTACAATATTACTCCATCTTCTCTGTCAAGTCTAATCCCTTCTTCCAAGAATTGCAACAATTACATCCTGCCTATAAAATTTGTCTTTTTTATTCATTTGTTCACAAGTTTGGACTGCCATCTTCAAAAAAACATTGTCATAGTGCTGAGCTGCAGCAAGGAGCTGGATCAAAAGCACCTGGGTGGCTCAGTCGGGTAAGCGACTATCCTCGGCTCAGGTCATGATCCTGCAGTCCCAGGATTGAGTCCCACATCGGGCTCCCTGCTCGGCAGGGAGTCTGCTTCTCCCTCTGACCCTCCCCCCTCTCATGTTCTCTCTCTCTCTCTCTCTCAAATAAATAGAATCTTAAAAAAAAAAAAAAGACAATGCCTATCCCAGAATAACATGCCCATGGTAAGTACACGAGATTACTTTCTTCCCTTCATTCACTCAACAAGTATTTATACTGATCTACTATGTGTCAAACACATGGAAACCTACAGTAAACAAGAGGACTTAGAGAAATAAAGTCACTTAATAAAATATTAAGAGTACTAGATTAGAAGGGTTCAGAATCCATTGAGGCACAAAAGAGTGAGTGATTAATTCACACGAGTTACCCAAAGAAAACACCATAGGGAGATGATATTTAAAACCAGAAAAATGAGTAAATGTTCATCAAGTGGGTAGGGGTTATGGGTAGGAGCAGGGTCTAGGGGAAAGCAGAGCTATAATTCAGATTAAAGTGGCAGGGTAAGCAAAAGCATAAGAGATAAATGGCAGTAATAATTTAAGAAAAATGCAAATAGTGTAGTTTGGCTGGGGCATACAGAATGGAGTGAAGCATGTGCCTTGAGTTAGGCAGGGTACGAATCATAGGGCTCTTTACGCCATTAGAAACTTCATGAGTCGTGATGACTTCATGAC